AAAGCTCTCACAACTCAATAAGTCTAATAACTCAATTAAAAAGGGCAATAGATCAAAAAACACATTTCTTTAAAGAAGCTATCCAAGTGGCCAATAAGCACATGAAAAGATGCTTAATATCATTAGCTATCAGGTAAATGTGGGTCAAAATCACAAAGAGATACCACTTCTCATTGACTAGGATGTCTATAAACAAAAAGACAGATAATAACAAATGTTGGTGAGGATGTGGAGAAACTGTAACTCTCCTGCAGTGCTGGTAAATGTAAAATGTAAAATGTAAAATGTAAAATGGTCCAGCTGCTGTGGAAACCAGTCCGGCAGTTCCTCAAATGATTAAACATAGAGCTGCCACATGACTCAGCAATTCTATGTATAGATGAAAAAAACATGTCTACACAAAATGTATATATACAAACATTCTTAGCACCATTAGTCATAATAGCCAAAAAGTGAGAACAACCCACTTGTCTATCAACTGATAATTAGATAAGTGTAGTATGTCCATATAATGAAGTATTATTAATTAATAAAAAGGAAAAAGCACTGACATATGGTTCAATGTGAATGAGCTTTGAAAACGTAATATGTGAAAGACACCAATCACAAAAGACCACATATTTTATAATTCCATTCATATGAGTTGCTCAGAATAGCCAAATCTGTAGAGACAGAAAGTATTAATATTATAGATTAGTGGTTACCTAGGCCTCAGGGTGTGGAGGGAAGTGAAAAGTGACAGATGATGGGTTTGAGGTTTGTTTTTGAGGTGGTGAAATATTCTCTAATTGATTGTGGTAAGATTTGTCAATTGACCAATGGCTTTTAGTATACTAAAACATTGCAGTATACACCTTCAATGGGTGAAATGCATAGTGTATGAATTACATCTCGGTAAGGCTGCTGAAAAGAAAAGATAGTTGGCTAGGTGGGTAGAAGTTGGTTGCAGGTAGTGATCACTAGGCAGTGAGTTACAACTCACTGAGAGGTGAGAGGTCTGTGACTCTAAATAAAACCCTTTAGGAAACTCTGCTTTTACACCAAGGTTTTCGCACCCACCTTTGGGGCTGGCTAATTCTCATTCTTTGTTGGGTGGAGTTTAGTTAGTGAAAATGTTTAGTAACACCTCTGGCTTCTACCCATTTGATGCTAGTAGTAACTCCTGTTCCCCCAATTTTGACAACCAAATATGTCGCTGCAGGTTGCCAAATGTCACCTGGTTGCCAAAACACCTTCCTGGTTGAGAATCACTGGTTTATACCATGGATTTTTATAGGGCAGGAATCCATGTTCACTGATAAACACTTAACAGCATGCTCCTCAAGGGGAAAAATCTTCGTGCTGTCTGCTGATTTCAGTGATGGAAATACTCCCTCAGTGACTTATTTCAAGCTATAAACACTGTCAAAGTGCTTACAAAATGCCCAAAGATTTAACAATCAGCTTTCACAAGCCGATATCAGCCAGCTTCAGCATGTTACAGATAAAGATTTACAGCACTCAGGAGCGAATACAGCATTCCATTTTAAAATATCTGAGACTGGTGAGGTCCACTGTTCCCTGGGCCAAGGTCCTAGCAACCAGGAATAGACTCAGAGCTCCCAGTTACATGGTCTCCTACCCTTTCAGTGTGGACCTTGCCATCTATGTTTGAATCTTCTTTTCTATCAAATCCTGAGATGATCTGCTTTCCTTGGAACTTTTCTTTCCTCAAGCTGCCAGAGCTGAAGTCTGATATGGAAAAACTTTCCTAATTCAGGTGGGGCAGAGCTGATGAGACTGCTTATTTTCTCCTGGTCAGTCTAGCAGACAAATTGGGTTCAAGGCTATTAATAATCTAGGTCCAAGGTCTTGGCAAATTTCTGCCCCTCTTACATTGCTATTAAGTAATAAGTCAACTGACTTGACCTTCTGAAACATGAAATGGTCCAAAGAGTACATCTAGGGTAGGGGACGTGCCATCAGCTTGTGAGGGGGTGTGTAGAATTTTGCACACAGGTTGATCTAATCCCTGTATACCAAAAGGACATGTGGTGATTGATGTGTGACGTCAGAGAGAAGAGCTTTGAGACACAATTCTGATGACAGGTTGTGGGCTAATTTTCCTAGGCAGTTTGAAAATCAAGGGCAGGCCCAGATAAATGTCTAATTCTGAGTCTGATGTCGTTGCCTTCACAGCTGTGAATCCTGTGTATACATGACACATTGTACTATTATTAGACAATTTAAATATCATGAATGAAAGGTATTGGAATTGGTATTGAGCAACATGTATATAAATTTTTGATAAAACAGAACTCTAATTTTACCAGTGAGGACAAAATAAATTCACAACAATTCATAAAATGACAATTAGTTCTATGCTAAAATATCAATTCAAGTAGGGAGAGAAGTCACCTAAGAAATTTTATCAGTTTTTATAATATAGGCACTTTATAACAAAATTTTTATAACATATTTATAACATAAATGTAATACAAATATTACAAATTTAATAATATAAAATATAATGTGAAATATATTATAAATTATAAATTTATAATGTATGTTATATAATATAAATTCTAATATAAAAATTATAAATATAAATATTTATGACAATGTAAGCTCAGATTGGGACCCTCTCTTTCTGTTCTGATATCTTGCATTTATTTAATTTATGAACAGAATCACACTACATGTTCATTCATACATAAACTTAAAGACTCAAAAAGTTCAATTTTTTCTTTTAATTCTGGCTCTTTTATCTAACTATTTTGCCAAAAAAAACTAGAAAAGCGAACTTTAGGATAAATTAAGTGGCTTATGGTATATACTAATCTCACCTTTCAAACTTTTTTTTTTGCAGTTTTTTTGGCCGGGGCTGGGTTTGAACCTGCCACCTCTGGCATATGGGGCCAGTGCCCTACTTCTTTGAGCCACAGGAGCCACCCTACCTTTCAAACTTTTGCTTCCTACTTTTAGTCAATCATTTGTTCACATAAATGTTTGAGCACCTGCTCTGGTACCCAACGTATGTTTGGTGGTCAGGATACTCAGTAATACCCTATAATATTCAAGGAATGGACACCATTTTGCAACATAACAAAAGGCAACAAACTCTCAGAGGAAAATCTGAAAGTTCCATGGAGAGAGAGACACTTGAAAGTCTGGTAGTTCTGCAAAGACTTAAGTGAGTTATCATACGATCCAGCAATTCTGTGCCTATGTATATACTCAGAACTGCAAACATATCGTCCACATAAAACTTGTACACGAATGTTCACTGCAGCGTTATTCAAACAGCCAAAAAGTGGGAACAATCCAATGTCCTTCCGTTGATTGATATGGTATACACAATGGGACATTATTTTGCAATTAAAAAAAGAATGAAATACTAGTACATGTTTCAGCATGGATAAACCTTGGAAAAAATGTGCTAGATGAAAGAAGCCACTCACAAAACCCACATATTAAATGATTCTATGTATATGAAAGTTCAGGTAAATCTACAGAGACAGAAAAAAGTGTTAAGACTACAGTGAGGGTGACAGAGGAGTGACAGCTAATGGGTACAGAGCTTCTTTGGAGGTGATTAAAATGTTCTAAAACTGGTGATTGTTGCACAGCTCTGAGAATATGCAAAGTCCCATTTATGCACTTTAAGTGATTGAATTATACATGTAAATTGTATCTCACTAAAGCTCTTTTATATTAAATAAAAGGTTCTCATAGGTAAAGCTCTTAGAACAATGACTGGGACATGGTGAGTGCTCTGTGAGTGCTCTGTGAGTGTTGGTTTCTACTGGTATTATATAAAATATAAATTTAAATAAGACACAATTTTTCACTTGCTAGATTGGTAGAGAGTAAGTAGTTCAGAATGTCTATAATTGGTCATTTTCCTACACTGTAGGTAGGAATGTCAATTTGTGAAGTTTCATAGGAGAGCAATGGCTTTGCACATTGGAATAATGAATATTCATCATTTTCACTCAATAATTTCAAAGAATTTATCTTTGTTTGTTATAGCCTGGCTTATTTTACCAAAAGATCTAAATAACTCTTAACAGGTGTCTGATTAAATAAATGATGGTACAACCTTATAAGGAAATCTTATTTGGCCATATAAAGAAAGACAAAAAGGCACTCTTCTACAATCAGCTGTCTCTAAGTCATATTAGGTGAAAAAAAAATAAATTACAGGGTGGCGCCTGTGGCTCAAAGGAGTAGGGCGTAGGCCCCATATGCCAGAGGTGGTGGGTTCAAACCCAGCCCGGGCCAAAAACTGCCAAAAAAAAAAAAAAGTAGTAATAATAAAATAAATAGATAAATTACAGAACAGTGTTTATGGTATGCAACTCTAAAAATAAGGTGCACGTGTGTGGATAAATACATGCTTGCACTCATTTGCAACAACATTTATTCTTACATGTGCTTAGACTTTTCTGGAAGGTTCTATAAGAAAGAAAATAGTTGCTGTGGATAAGGACTAGAAGTTTGCAAACATGAAGTGAGAGAAAAATTTGTGTTCTGTTGTGCATTTGTATGGCTTGAAATTTTTGTTGTTAGTGTTTTGGGTTTTAGTCACCAATGTATTACTTGTTATGTTATTTTATTTTTTATGCTAAGCTACCGTCTAAAAACAAACACACCCTCCCCCAAGAACACATGAAAACCCCTCCCCAAACCAATTATAAGAGGGAAAAAACCCCTACATGTATGAAAGCCATTAATTTTTATTTTATTATTATTATTGTATTTTTTTTTTTTTTGGCCAGGGTTGGGCTTGAACCTGCTACTTCTGGTATACAGGGCCGGTGCCCTACTCCTTGAGCCACAGGTGCCACCCAAGCCATTAATTTTTATAAATTCATCTTGACCACAGCAATCTAGATAGTGCCAGGATTTAAATTTGAAACCCACAGTGAAAACAACTAACATATCAAACAATAGACATTCAGCTACAATGGTTTAAATAGCACTTGGTAGCTCTTTCAAGCATTGGTAGTAGTTTATTTACTTGTGTTTACCTCTAATAATGATATGCTAGGAAACATCTTAGCATATCATCATTTTAAAGGGAAGTCTGCTTTTGCATGGTGTCTGGCTGTGTAAACTACTGATGAAGGAACACAATATTCAGCCTTGCCTAATATATTACTTTTTTTTTTTTGGCCGGGGCAGGGTTCAAACCCACCACCTTCAGTATATGGGGCCAACACCCTACTCCTTTGAGTCACAGGCGCTGCCCAATATATTACTTTTTAAACAAAGTGTTAATTGGAAGAAAGAAGAGGAAGAGATGAGACCAGCACAAAGTAACAATTAAATGAAGTTGGCTTCTCTTCTAACCTAGACTTGGCTTACCTAGACTTGATTACAGTCTGGTGTGTGTGTATGTGTGTCTGTGGTTGAAATTTCATAATTAATAAATCTAATAAAACTTTGAGATAAAAAGAATCCTGCCTTCTCCCCATTTCATAGTGTACCACACATTCAGTGTTACTAATACATGCACCCAACACTATTGAGTAAGAACCTCCTAACTTCCCAGGACCATTAGATGCTCCAGGAAAAACTCCAGAGGTGGAAAGGGCAATACCTTCCTTCAGTATACCTATGACCTAAGGAAACAGGAGAGCTGTCAAATAACAATAGGAGAGTCTATTCATCTAGTCAATTCTGTTTTAAGCCTCTTAAAAGGGTTCTAAGATATTACAGTATTACCAGGAAGTCAGCAGGGGGCACCTCAAACACATCTCCTAAGTAGGGCCAAGCTCATTTCAGACCGGGGGCTTTGATGTTGGGTTTGAAGTTATTTGTGAATGTGAAACCATCAGCAAAATATATTCATGATCTTATATTATATATTCCAATCATTAAGGAGGTCTCATACAAAGTCTCCTTTTATCTTCTACATGGACTTAAATTTTGTTTTGTGTTTTGGATAAAGGGGGAAACTACTTATAAATAAACATTATAATGGGGTGAGTTATTTGTGGGGCATTCTTTTTAGTTTTTATGAGCTGTCTTCTAGGAAAGGGCTGTATCCTTCCGCAGTTCTTTGGTGACAGCATCTGGATGGTCTGTTCTGTCCTTTCCCTTTCACCATAAAGCCTCATTCTGGATATAACATTGCAATGCATTGGCTTTTTTTCTCTCTCTCTTTTATAAAATTGTCTTTTATTTCTCTTCTTAACTTTAGTCAGACAAATTTTTTAATGCTAAAATGCTTTCTCGTTGCTCGTTTTGTTTTGCTTCCTATTGTTTTTAGAAGGGGAAGAGTATGAATATTCCCAGCTCAAGAAAATTGAAATCCTTACAATGTGTCTGGATTACCACACCTTTATGGTTTGAAGCAACTCCTGCCGCACTCCTCAATCCCCCCAGATCCAGATCTGCCCATCTCAACCCATTTTCACCGTCACTTACGGTTCATCTCAGTTCAGATCCAGTTTGTGCTACTTTAATGCTGAGATGTGGCTAGTGCTGAAAAAGCTGTCAAGCTGTCAATGATAATTTTTAGTAAATAGTTTTTTTTTTTCCTATTTAAGAAGTCAATATCTAGCACTCTGAGAGGCTAGGGCAAGAGGATTTCTTGAGCTCAGGAATTTGAGACTAGCCTGAGCAAGAGGAGGAACCCGTCTCTACCAAAAACCAGAAAAATTAGCTAGCAGGGGTGATGTGCTCACCTGTAGTCCTAGCTCTCAGGAGGCTGAATAAGATTGATGAACAGAAGGACTATTTGAGTCCAGGAGTTTGAGGTCACAGTGAGGTATGATGTTGCCACTATACTCTACTTGAGATAACAGAGTGAGAATCTTGTCTCAAAGAAAAAAAGATTTAAAAAGATTTCTTAATATTTATAATTTTGCATTGTAAATTTGTATAATTTTATTTGCATTAACCATATTTTCTACGTTAAATATAATTGTGTGATATAGACCGTATCCACCTTGTACTGATATTCTTTAGAATCCATGTAGACATCTCATCATATTTTAGTTTTAGCAAAGAAGAGAAAAAATAAAATCTGCACTAAAATATGCATGTATAAAAAAAAATCTCCTCCAGCCTTTTCCAGTTTGCAATTACAGCAACATTAAAATATAACACACCAAAGACATTTTCTTCTGTCCTGAGATAGCCAAAAAAGGAAAAAAAAAACAAAACCCAAAACCCACAGACATTTTATGATTACTACTATTTAATCTTCACTGAGTTTCATCTTTGCTCATCTATAGAAAAGGAGTATTATTCAGTCCCAGGTACTTTTGTAACGATTAAATGCAGAAAAAGATGAAAAAATGCCTCATGTGTGTCAATAGCAGGCCTTTAATCAAAATAGGGTAGATAGTAGCAAGCTAGATTGATAAAGCCTCCCTACATCTGGAATTTCTGGTTGTTTCATTAGATGAGAACATTTAACTTTTTACTAGTCATTTTTAACATGTACCAGGAGCAAGTGTCCTGCTATAATGCTATGTTGATCATTTATAAAATGCTCAGCTTCTTTTAGCCTAAGCGTTTCCAGTCTAACACGAAGGAAACAGTAATGGAGAAAGCCAAGCTTCAAGGTTTGGGGGCCAAACCACTCTGCTGAAGCTTGGACAAGGCCCTTGGATAAAGCACATGCAGTCCTGGCCCAGAGATCATGTGAGCGCTTGCGAGAGAATGATGCACGTGATTGCTCACAGAGCAGCCAATCAGGAGAGAGCGTTGCCACCACACCCACCTGCTCACCCTTGGGAGGAGAGCCAACCTGCCTGCTCTTCCACCAGGCTGAGCTAGCTGCTGAGTTCTCTTCCTGGAAATCTCTGCAACTCTGATGGAAGCGCAGGGTAACAGCCAGAACACTCCAAAACTAGTTTCATAGTTTTAAAAACATATATACTCCAACTCGTGAGTGCTTTGATTTTGTCATCTGTAAACCTGGAAAATCATTTTTAAAATATGTTATAAAGCATCACACTTCCCCTTAGCAGTTCCATAAAATTTCTTGCAGTTCTCTGAAAGAGAAGTGCAGTGTGGTTTGATTGTCTTACCAAATGACATTTATTCATGAGAGTTGGCTGCATGAATATTCTGCATAAGAAGTAGGTATTTCTGTGCTTCTGCTTGTATGTCATTTATATTGTGAGCACATCCAGTGCAATGGTACTCATGTTGTGTGTTAAGAGTTCATGATATGATTTTTGGAGGACTGCCATGTCTTAGCTACTCACATCCTCTTCATGGTATGTTCTGCGACTTCTGAAGTCCTGTGGGTTTTAATTTTGGGCAGGTTTCAAAATGTTCTACATACTTTACAGGATAGAGTGAATATGTACAATATGTCTTTAATAACTGCAATACAACATATTGTGGCATTGAATGCCCCAACTTACAAATAGGACCCTATTTTACAGAATAACAAACTGTGAATTATTTGGGTATTATCAGCTTTTACTGTTTGAGAAAAACTTGAAAAATGAGCCTCGTTAAAAAAAAAACAAACTAAAACTTTTCATCCTTCTAAACTACAAATGCACGTTCTATGTATGTGTGTGTGTGTGTGTGTGTGTGTGTGTGATGGCGGGTGAATATTAAAAATATTCAGACCATAAAGATAGTGGATTGGAAATTCCAGTTAGGAACCAATAAGGTGGGAAGTATAGAGTTAACTGTCCTTCCTGGCCAATATAAATCCTTTACATTTAAAAAGATATTTGAAAGTATTCTGAGTATTTTAGCAGAAAAACACAGTATCCAAAGTGATTTTGTTTTTCTTATTTTAATTGCATGCCTCAGTATGCTTGCTAATAAAAATAGATTTATTGAGATATAACTTAGGCAACATACAGTTCACTCATTTCAAGTGTACAATTCAATGGTTTTTAGTATATTTACAGTTGTAAACATAGCCATATATAATTTCTGAACATTGCCCACCACCACCACCTTCCTCCATTCTTTCCTATTCCCAGCCCCAGGCTACCACAAATATGCCTCCTGTCTCTCTAGATTTGCCTTTTTGTGGACATTTTAAATGGAATCACACAGCAGGTGCCTTTTGTGACTGTCTTCTGACACTTACCATGACACTTAAAGTTGTTTCACCTCCATGTTCTGCCTCTGAAGATAAGATGTTATTCTTGAGTTCTGTGATGAGTTTGAAGACTGAATATAATTTGCATGAAGCAAAAATTAGAAACCAGTTAGAGCAAGTGGGCTTTTCTCCACGACAGAAGCTAATCTGTCTCGCCAGTGTTAAAATACCAGATTGTGCAAGCACAAACTAGGGGCAGTGAGTGTTCTTGTGCTCCTACATTGATGGGGGAGGAGGGGAGAGAAACACTGCAAGTTAACGAACAATTCATCCAAAGAAGAGTGGATTTAAGTATTGACGAAATGTAGTTTAACAGCTAAACTTCTCCTCCTTGTAAAACTGGTGATTGTTGAGTATTTAACATAAATCAATATAAACCGTTTGGTACCTACACACCCGGGCCTAAGGAGTAGACTCCCTCAGGCTGAGAAATAGCCTAACAGAAAGAAAATTTTCCCTTCTGCCCTTTCCCCCTCTTTTCTCTGGCAGGTTTGGTCCTCATGACTGCTCAAGTGTTTGGAAGTGAATTTAGGGCCCTCCCTCCAACTTATGATTTATAGCCAATAGTTGATGAGGTTTATTTGCATATTTCCAGTCACAGAAGCAGACGCGGTGTAGAACCGGAGTCAGACTGGATTCCTCCTCCTCCTCCTTCTGCTCCTCCTCCTCTTCGAAACCTGCCACTTTTAGCTGTCCTGCCCTCCCCCTTTAAAGGACGACTTGCCCTGCGGCGAACCGCGGCTCCAGCCCTCCCTGCGCCTCCGGCTCGGCGGGTCCATCGGTCGGTTAGCGCTGTGCAGCTCCTGCAGAGAGACGCACCCCGAGATGAAGAGCAAAGCCCTGTTCCTGGTGGTCCTGGGCGTGTGGCTCCAGAGTCTGACTGCCTCCCGCGGAGGGGTGGCCGCCGTCGACAGTAAGTTTTGCGCGCAAACTCCCCTCCACCTGCAGGCGCGGCCGGGAGCCACTGCCACCGGTCCTGAGGATGGGAGCGAGGAAGTTGAAAGGGGCTGCGGGGATGCACTAGGGGCTTTTCCAGCCTGAGGCTGGCCCTGAGAACAGTCATCGGAGTGGGACGCGCAAAGTGCAGGGAGGAATCACCCTCGGGTCTTGCTGCGGGAGTGCCTGGTTCTCGCTCTGGGTTCCCGCGCTGTCCCTCCGGCTGCGCCCGCGTTTCCGGGCGCGCGGACCCCGCCGGGAAGGGTCGGGGTGTGAGGTCCCGGACCACGGAGCGGGGAGCAAGGACCGGCTGGCGGGGACCAGCTGTGACCTCCCTGGCTGGGGGATCCTGGAATGAAAGGCACACAGGCCAAGGTGACCCCAGATTGGCCGGGGCTGCGGCTCAGCCCCCGCCTGTGGACGCTCTGGCAGACAGCGGCCCCCTTCTAGGGGAGCGAGCGGGGCGCGGGAAGGCGTCGCTGGCATCTCTGCCTCACTGGGCACTCGCGCCCTCGGCTGAACCCCTTGCCCCGCGGTGGGAGTGGCAGTGGGGTGGAGATGGAGGGTGGGACTCAGCGTCCTGCGCGAGTTTGGAGTCCCAGGGACGCAGCTTCCAGCGGGCGTTCCCCGGACACTCTCCAGCTTCCAAGTTCACATACTCCTCTTGGTGCCCAATAAGGCCATGAAGGGCTCAATAGCCAAAAATGTGGCCGCCGACTTGGAGGTTGCCGGATCTACACTTGAAACTGAGGCCAGCCTCACGCTTGCTGCGAGCACGTGGGGTCTCCGCGCGGCACTATGAGGCTGCGCCTAGTGCGTGGTTACCGCTAGGGCGCCTTGGGCCCACCTGGGGTCTGGCGCTGGCATCTGATGCGAATTTCTTTACCGCAGGGAAGATGAGAGCCCAGCCCCAACCCTGCCTGCAATATCGGCGGGAACCGTGGCTCAGTTAACACACAATAGCAACTTAAAGCAACTGGGGCGAGTCATCAGAGGCGGCAGCGTTCCCTTTTCTCTTATTTGGGGGAATTGCATTAGGGCAGCCTCCTTGGATGTGCTCTCTGGAGTCTGCCCATGGCTTTGATTGCTGCTGAACGTTCATTTTAGTTAGGCATTAATTTGCGAAAGACCATCTTTGTTAAAGAAAATCGTAGGTTCCATCAAGGCAGAATTGGATAGAAAGATAAGTATCTTTTCCTACTGGGCCATTTTGAGAACCCTGGAGAGTCTTAATATGTTGGTATGTTCCCCTGCTTAGTGTTTAATCCTCCCCAAGAAGATGGTAGCAAGCAACTCCAAATTCTTATTTAAGAAAGCACATCATAGAATAACGTTACTTTCACCGTCAAGCACATACAGAAAGGGTCACCCACATTTTAAGGTTTTGCTAGGCCCCTTTGGAGCTCCAGATCCTGTGTTTTGGGATTAGTAGGGGGTCATTTCTCTGGGTTTAGCTTCCTCAGCTCTATAAGGAGGATTTTGCTAAGACTGAAATGTCTCTGAGGCCCCTTAATTCCGAACTCTTTGATTGAAATGGGTACTCATGTGCTTAATTAATTTAATTGGATTTTAGCCAACACATGCTTTTCCTGGCTCTAAATGTATTAAGGGAGGATTATTTCTAAGCAGACTTGAAAGGACTCCCACTCATTCCCTCCACTTTGGGTTCAACCCACCTTTTATTTCATGCCCCTCCCGTCACAGCAACTTTCTGCCCCTCTGTCCTCCTGATGAATTCATCTAGGAATGTGAATTTCAAGGTCAGAAAGATGGAGCTTGGGGAGAATGATACCCAGCACTTCCTCCGAGCTCTGAGTTTACTTCTTCATTCTTGATTCCTTCTAAGAAGATTATGAGAATATGAGGCACTGCCCTTGGGCTCTTTGTCCTAGAAGCCACTGCCATCTCTGGAGTGGCTTCAACTAGGAAACTTGAAGAGCCAGGAGAGGGAGCATAGGGAGTATGTGATGGAGATGAGAGCTAAATAGCAGGTGTCACTGGGGAAGAGTTTCACCAAGCAGTAATTGATTAACGGCTGTATCGAAAGGTGGGAGTCAGGTACCGGGGAAGAATTGCGATGGAAATTTTTTACTTCTTTCCAGCAGCATATTTTTAGCTCAGCCTTCTATTCGTGCTTTTTATGGAGAAGAAATTGGGCTATATAGTTTACTGCCAAACTGTCAAACTATGTCAGGTTGTTCAAGAAAGTGCCTTGAAACTTACATTTTACTGTTAGTGTCTTCTCTCTCTTCCCACATAATAGCCACAAAGGCTGCATTGCCTGAAGAGTGAAGATATTCTGGCCATCAGAGTGATGGCTGAGGATGACTTTGGAACACAAAGTACCAGGAAAATATTCAAGACATGAGCATCATGATTTTTCAGGTCTAGGTGGCAATACAATTCGAATTTACTCAAGATGTGTTTTCCAACTTCTATGGCAACAACTTTTTAGGGATAGTTGTATTCACTAAATATATATATATATTTTTTTTAAATATAAAATATGACTGTCTTTGGATTAAATACAGCCTAAAAATAGCACCCTAAACTTGCCATTGCTCTCAGATTATGTTGGGTCCCATCT